TCTTACCTGAATTATCCACAGCTTATTTTGCTCCTCCTCTGTAGCTACTCACTCCTCGCAGGCTCCTTGACCTGCTTTCCCCCAACAAAAGTACCCATCCCTCCTACCTGAGAGAAGGCCTTCATGGTACGAGGACCAGCAGCCTGTTACCCTATTTAAACATCTTCAGAGACTGGGTAGATTCCCCACTCACCTGCACCACTGGCTAGCCTGCTGTAGCCTCTGGGCACAAGGCTGATGGGTGTATTACCCCACAATATGTCCAGTGGGCTCTCCGAAGAGCAGACAATCTACCTTTTCTCTCTGTCTTTTATGTATGGTAGGATCTCGCCCTTCCTGTTGACTCTGGCCATGTTAATCCAGTAACAGCTATTCCAGAGAGGTGGTGCTTAATTTGTGCTAGGGCTGAGGCCTGGCACCTCTTAGCTTCCTGCATCCATTATGCATGTAAAAAAAATGGTGTGAGCCCCTGTATCTCTTGCATTACAAAGGAAGCACTGAATATAAGTGCAATGGGGCTAGGCCAAAAGGGCCATAGAGAAGTCCTCCAGAAGGCTAGGGCGGCTATGGAAGAACCAGCCAATCACAAGCCAGGAGGGACTATAAAAGAAGCTGCAGGACTAGAGGTAGCTCATTTGCCGCCCAGAACTAAAAGAGAGAAGGTCAGGTGTGGCTGGCTGGCAGAACCAAGGACAGTTCATGTGAGGTGAGTGCTGACCCTGTTACAATATGTTACCCCATGAGGCAGTGCCTGAGGGCATGGATTTTGGCCTCCCCTTTGTGCTTCAGTGAGAGCTACTGAGAGTTATTTTAATCATCAGAATGGGGAAGCCAAGGAAGCATTGAGGGGCTGGCAGAAAACTGAAAAGGGCATCTTTTCTTGTTGCTGACTGTGGCACTATCGTAGCTGAAAAATAAGAGTGGAGGAAATTGTTCTGTGAAAATCCAGTTGACATACATTAGTGGTCTAAGGAATTAAATTAGAAAATTTGGCTCGAGGCCAGCCATTCATGTTGGATCTTTGTCACAATATGTGGAGCCAAATTCTTTAAGTAGTCCCTTACTGCTGGCTATTGATTTTTCAGAATGAACACACTCCTTCACTAATTAGCAGAGAACACATTTGTTTTGTGCGAGGAGCTTCTCTGGCCTTCAAGTCACTTGCTGTAGATTTTCAGAAGTTGGCTCAATCAATTAAACACATGTACCATATCCCACAGCAGACACGAATGGAAAATAACCTCATGTTTTCTTCTAGTTCCTTCTAGTATTTGAGGACAGGAATTCCCGTCGCAGGGAAGCTGCAGTTTAATCACTTGCTGTGAAAATGAATTATACACATCATTTCAAATCATTTTTGAGGAGCGTGCACAACCTCTGTGCTTTGTGCAACATTGACCGCACTATAGAAGCCAAGTTAGGTTCTACTCACTGAGGCCTCATTTCTGCCATCTTTGCTCACCAGACTGCTTCTGTGCATAGCAACTACCCATATGAGTCAGGAATGTGGTATCAGGACCCTTTGTCCACGTTTTACAAACCTGTCATTGGTCTGAGGAATAGAGGAAAATGCTTTGAAACATCAGAGGTATTTTTAATTAGAGGTACCTATGATTAAACCATGACGCGTACAGCTGCAAGAATGCTAGCATCTGTTGTTAGTTATTTGTCTTACTTTAATGGGATGCTTTTAGATCAAAGTTGGCTGAAAAACGCGATTTTATGTTAGAAAGAACCCTGGCCTTTTATCAAATAAGGTCAGTAGAAATTTATACCATTAAAATATATTTCATTTGTTTTTGTTCCAGGAAAAAAAAGCAAGCACACGGTATAAATAGTTAAAATAACTGAATACTTACAAAAGTTTGTTCAAGATTTAATAATCTTGCTAGTGGCACATGCACACAGAAGTTTGTCTCTACTTCCTGTATTACTTTGAGGTTGTCAGTGTTGCTTTAACAGGCTGGAATCTGCTGTCCATGTGCCCTCTTACATTTCGGGTCAAAAAAGATTTGGGGATTTGAAGAGGAGCGTAAGGCTACATCTAGACTGCAGGCTTTTTTCAGAAGAAGCTTTTCCAGAAGAGATCTTCCGGAAAAACTTCTTTGAAAGAGAGCGTCCACACAGCAAAAGCACAATGAAAAAACGATCTGCTTTTTTTTGAAAGAGCATCCACAGTAATTGGATGCTCTCTCACATTTAAATTGTGATTACTGTGGACAGAATGGCCACCTGTGCTTTTTCCTGAAGGTCTCCTCTTTTGAAAAAACACTCTCTTCCGCGTTCACACACAGCTTTTTCTGAAAAAGCTTTTTTGGAAAAATTCTTCCCTGTAGAATGAGGATTACCGCTACCGGAAACACCCCTCCGTTCTTTCTACTTTCTGTTGAAAGAACGCGATAGCAGTATGGGCATAGGTAGAGTTTTTCCAGAAAAACGCTGCAGTGTAGACATACTCTAAGTCAATACAGTTTATGCTTTATGTAAGTACTTTTGGGACATCCTACATAGAGCAGAAATAGAGGTGGTCAGGAGACTGGAGATGAAAATGAGTAGAAGCGTAAACTGGTTTCTGAGTGAACCACAGACCAGAAAGGTGTTGGCACTGTTTGTTTAGATGAGAGGATGAATAAGAGTGTCCTTATCCACGGAGGGTCCTAGGCATTATGGTCTCTGTGTGTGGGATAAAAATCTATAATTAACAACAGGGAAGATGTTAGAAGTTCTGATGCTTTTCAGGATACCCATGACTCAGTCTCCTTTGTAACCCCACCTTCTGTGAGTGGCAGAAATACTTGTGCTTCACTGGGTGTCAATTTCTTGACACCATCAGCCAGACACCCACCTAAGCAATCTCCTCTGGACTAGGCCAGTCTTTACTATATCTGAGAGGTGAGCACTAGATGCACCCTGGTCCCCATTCCCCTTTGAAATGTTGCTCTGTGCCTGTCCATTCTCTGTTGAACACTCGAGAGAGATAGCAAATCTGCTATCCCCAAGAGAAGTTTGTAGGCACCAGCTCCTGTGATTCGACTCCGGATGAGCAGCTAGCTTAATCCCACGGCTGTGAGATACCTTTATAGTGAACTCAACAATAAATGTGTTAGTAAAGGTTCAAGGTGCACAAAATGTTGAGAAACAAAAGGTCACATACAAAACAATAACTTAGCATCATTTCTGAAGGCTAAACCTTTAACAATAATGTGCCAGCCCCATCACAGGTACCCAGCGAAACTGAAAGACATACAACTTAAATCTGATTTTGAGAGTGGCTTTCCTGGAGTTACTCCCAATGGACACCAGGGAAAGATCGGGAAAGGGCAGGAATCCTGCCTGTCAACGAGATCCCCCTCAGATCACCCGCTGTTCTGGTGGGAATTCAAAACTGCTGGACGTTCCGGAGTGGTTCTCGGCCTTGCATGGCCAGCGCTGCTAACACGTGTCCATCCTTCACCCTCCACCCACCAACTTCTGACAGCCACACTGGTGCACTCAGCTTACCGCCCAGCAGGGGGTAGAGCTGCTATTAGCCAGCTGTGGCGTGGCAGAGAGGAGGCCACACCTCTGCATACATGACACAAACTCAGCCACATATTATGTGTGAGAGAAACAAAGCAGCACAGTTTGCATGACATGTGGGGCTAAAAACCCACACAAAGGGTCAAATTCTGCCCCCACGGGTGCCCAGAGCGATTTATGGGTATAAATGAGAGCAAGAATGGACCTCACAAGGCTGCACAGAATGCCCATTTTGGGAAGGGAGGTTCCATGCCCCACGGTTACAGAAAGGTCTTGCTGAGCGGAATTTCTCCTCCATCAAAGAGTTCTTGGACAATCAACAGTGCTGGCATCACTCCAGCAGGTCAACTGTGGGGTATTTCTTTTTGTGCTCTGGTAATGCGGAATCAGATTTCTGATACCAACATTGACCGAGGCAGGCCTTAACCGGACAGACATACCCATGTACATCAGCACAGCTCTCATCGGGAAGGACACGACCCTCTCTGGTACCAGTGACAGCTGCAGCAAGAGGTCATGGCACCAAAGGGGAAGGCACCAACAGGAGAAGAGGGACATTCCAGTGTACTCAGCTGGCAGCATTACAGGAAGGAAAGAGTCCAGTGGAAGGCAACAAAAATGATTAGAGGGCTGGAGCATGTGACTTATGAGGAGAGGCTGAGAGATTTGGGCTTCTTTCTGTGAACTATGAACAGAGTTGGTCCTAGGGGTTGAAGCGCGTCCACTAGAAAAATGGCTGCTAACAATCTCGTACTCCAAGGGCAGCAGAACTTTTATTTCAAAGGGGCAGTTTTAGACCATTTGTGTTTGACTACCATGAGGTTGCGTCTCCATCTTGTTTGGCTGGACAACGTTTCCCCCTCCCTGCATACAATGAAAGTAAATAGGTCAACACTTTCCTGTCTCCTTGCAATCAGCAGAGAGGGCTTTAAACAATTCTAATGCCATTATCTTTAAAAGAGGATAATGGCACAGTCTGACTCATAAGTAGGGAACCTGGGAGTTACAATTATGGAAAAAACAAATAATAAAAAAGATAAGGCGGCCATAGTACATCCTAATATATTGGACAAAGAATGCCTAAGGTGCAGTGAAGTTTACCATCTAAACATATCAAAGCTTTCCAGAATGACTACATTAGATTTCCTATATTAATGCCCTCCATAGACAGCAATGATTTTTTTAAATAGATTTCTAAGTCAATTGAAATGTTATAAGCAACAGAAACTGCTGTAGATGGGGAGCTGCAAAACTCAGGAAGTGAGGGCTGCTTTCCGTAAGTGATTTCACAGTTATTGTTGCTTAGATCCTCTGATGAGTAAAACTGTCTGGTCGGTGTCTGGTGGACACACCTGAGCAGGAAGCTGTGACGTTAGTTTTGGTAGGCTGGTAATAAGCTTTGGTTATTTCTTACAACATATTCTTTCTGGCCTTATATATTCTAATGTTGGTGTTCTTGTCTTTGTCTATGCATTCTTTAGCTATGAGGATAACAGACCCTTCATCAAGTAAGAATGACCTGAATGGCTGATAAATCCCTTTTAGCAGTGTGGTCTCATGAGCCAGCTGTCAGATCAATATTGAAAAATCATTAAAGCTTCTGTCATTCACGTTTTGAGGCAGAAGAGCAAACTGTGCAGGAAAATGGCCAGGCATACAGCTTCGATGCAGAGTAAACACGCTGCATATGTATTGCCAAACAATTGTTACTTTATCTGCTTCAAAATTCTTGATTGGACATCACCCTTATTTGCTGCAAATGTTCAAGCAATCTCTTGCAGTACAGACTTGTTATACAAATTATAGCTTTTTTCTTTCATTATGTCGTGTCTCTCTGGGCATCACGTGCGCTGGGTTGGTAAGGATGGCTTTGCCTTGCAATTCTTAATGCAATTTAGGGGTACATTTTAAAAGTGATGCATGGGTATTAATCCACATAAGTCCTATTGAAGCTAATGGAGGTTCAATCTCTGGGCAAGCCTGGAAAAAATGTCTCCTTAAAGATGAGAAGGCTCAGTTGTCACAAATTGCCAATTTCAGGCTTTCGTTCGGGCCAATATTTGATGTTTTGTTTTTCCATTTTTTTTAGAATTGAATTGGAAAAAAAGACTATGAAAATCTTGTCACAGAAATACAAGTCTGTACAAAGAGCTAAAACAAAAGGAAGCAAGAAGCATACAAATTATACACTTTATAGCAACATTTCTTGTCCTGCAAACAAAAAAGAGAAAAACTAGTGTAATGGAAGCGTAACAACTTTGCAATAGACTTTCAGTTTGTTCTTCTGGTGAAGAGTCCTTTGTGTTCATTTTTCCAGTACCATTCTCATATTCTCATCATTTTCAGTTATCTTTTCAAGGATACGGGGTGGAGCAATTGTATGATATTTTCACCCCCTTTACTCGCAGAGCTGTTTTCTACATCAGAAATTCGTATATTATACCGTTTGTGCTGTGTGTCTCCTCTAACCCAAAGATTCCTTTCAGATGATAAGATTACATCTTTCTGTTGCTATTATAGAAATTATTTCACTCTT